TAGTCGTTCTCCATTTCGTTACTCTCTTTACCCGGCAGCGGCGTGACCCGACCCCGAGAAAAGTACATTACGCTCGATGTCGTATCCACTATTCGGCGTTGCCCCGCCGCGGATTTACCCTTTTCCCTCCACACCTCCGTCTTGCGTCTCGTCGCGGGATCGCGAAATTCTTCACGCGTCACGACGAAAGAAACGCTCCCGCTCCCGGTAAGGCAGGCGATATACGTTACAACGGGGGTTGCGCAAAGAGTAATTTATCTCGCCGAGTCCACGACAAGGGCACTCCTACTTTCTCTTCCTTTTTCTCCCCCCTCTTTTTCTCTCTCTCCTCTCTCCGTCGTAAATTAAGCCCGGGCGTACGTATGTGATGATGACAAAACGTTGCCGCGCGGATGACTCGATGACAAGGTGAGATACGTCGCGTGCGCGCGACTTAAGAGATGATTAAGCCGCGCATTATTTTATGGCTGTTAAACGTTATCGCGAGAATATGATCTCTCGTCGTTCCCCATTTCGTGGAAGGAACGAGCATCTCGTGTAGCACGCGCGCGAAACGCGCGGATACGCGCGTTCGATGTGGTGGAATTCGCCATGCCCGAAATCGGAATGTACACGCACGCGGGTCACCGGCTGGCATGTCCCTCTTTGTCTTCCACCTCCGCGTGCATTCCACGCGGTCGCACGTTCGATGTTAGCAGCGCGGGATATTCCGCTTGCAAGGTCCCGCCGCATAAATCCCGTCGATATAAATGTAAACTCGGAGCTGGAGCGATGCGGGAGGTCGGCATTAACCTACGAGAGGACGTCACGACGTGCAGGACGTGGAATTTAAAGGCGAAGGGCAAGCGAGCTTAAATGGCACGTCGCGAGCGAGAGGTGGAGCGAGGAGGGAGGCTTCGGGACTTGGAGGAAACCCTCGGACGATGAAAGCAACGCGGTCGATCGGCGCCTCAAGGAGCAAAGGAGACCGTCGCTTTTGCGGACGGAGGTGGAAACAGACCCGCAGGCGGCGGAGGCGGGGCATGCGGATGGTCGTTTCGAGGCTGGAGAGTGAAAGGGAGGGATGTTTTAGGGCCGGTCGATACAGCCGAAAGTCCAGAGAGCGAGCCGAGTGGCGCGAAAATTCGTGCGGATGAGAATAT